CAGCTGCTATGTTGCCAACATCACATTCCCTTTCCAGTCAAGTCCAAGAGGATGTATCACTGTATCACTGTCCTCCCATTGTTCACTGATTTGCTGGAGTAGGCACCAGTAACATCTCCATTGTGAGACTTTTTGTTACTGTTTTTGGCATGTCAAATATGCCACAGGAGCTTGCCAGGCTCTGCCTTGTGGGCAATATACTCTCTGTAGCTTGCTGGGCTCTCCAAGAGAGATGGAGGAAAAAACCCGGGTTGACTGAGTGCAAGGCAAACACCCTGCCACCCCCCCACCCCCGTGCTATTGCTCTAGCTCCAAGAGGATGAGTAAAGGGAAATATAATATGCATGTGAGAACAGCTTCCTTTGAAATTGTTTAAAGAGACTTCAGCCTAACTTCATCACTTAATGAATGTGTAACTGTACATTTTTAGGGATACAATGTCACTTATTTTCGTCTGGGAATGTGCCTCAATGATAAAGCTCATGATTTGCAAGTATGAGACTGGCTTCATACCCTGGTACTGAAAAATCGTAACAAAATTCAGCTTAATCCATCCTATTAGAAAATATGATGCTTATAGGCAACACAGAAGTACCAGTTCCACTCTAGTATATTCCGTTAGGCTCTATGCCCCTCCAGTCACTCATCCTCACCCCTACCCTTGACTGTGGAATCTGCTGTGGTCTGTGGTCTGAGTCTGTGGGTTTATAATTTCCCTTAATTTGTCAGTTCCTGTGCTCTATTTTTCTATGTCTTTCATGTGTGAATGAGATAACTTGAAATTTTTGTTTTGTTTTCTTTCGGAGACATTCTTGGCACTACTCAGGAGTTACTTTACTCCTCACTCCTGATAGTGCTCGGGGAGCACAGGGGATGCTGGGGATCAAACCTGAGTTTGTTGTGTGCAGGGAAAATGACTTACTCTCTGTACTATCTCTTTTGCCAATAAAGTGGTATTTTTAAAGACAGTTATATTACATAAATGAATTCTTAAATGGTGAAGTTAGGCTGAGAGAAGACCTAGAGATCTAGGTGGAGGGAGACTGATACTCTGGTTCTGGTATGGCATAGCAACTTTGGATTCTTGAAACATTAATATTAATGATATATTAAGTCATGTTGCCCACATAAAAATTTAAAAAAAAATTAGGTGGAAATTGGAATAAAAACAACATAAAGTTATAACTTCCTTCTATTTCATTCGCCTCTGTTACAAAACATTTATCATGTTTGCCAACTCACTAGCTGCAAGGGAAGCTGGCCAGAAGAGTTCTGTGCATGTATGCATGCACTGATGTATACATTTAAAAGGAGGACACATTGCCACCACAAATAATATTAGCATTCTGAGAAAAAACAGCGTAGTCCAAATTTTTAGTAGGAAATAAGGAAGGTTTGCATTATATAGAATCTGTGTTATTATTCCTTTGAAGAACAGTGAAGAAGTTTCACCATCTTTCAAACAAGTCTCAAACATTAAGATTGCACCACATAAGTCACGTTTGGTGGGGAATTATTACAGAAATCTTGTCACCAATATATGTCGAAGAAATAAGGAAAATCATAAGGAATTTTCACAGGCTTAGAATTGTTTGTGCTTCAATTTTCTCCAGTTTATGAGTGTTTTTACACTTCCATCTTGCTAGGCATCTATTGGTTGCTTTAAGACTCCTTGGGGCTTTGATGTTGTTCTCTCTGTTCTGAAACCTTTTCACTTGGTGTTTAGGCTCTCCAAATTCTTCTTCTTGTCAGGCTTCAGCTCAAATGCCGTTTTCTCGGAAAAGCCTCCTGTGATTATCTCAGCAAGGTATAGTCTATCCTCAAGTTACTTTATCGTGGAGTTTTGACCTTAGGAGATCACATTTATTTACTCACATATGTATATCTGCATATTTTTTCCTCATAATTATTCTGAGAATGAACTTTTGTTCATCTGCTTGTTCACTGACCTCTACCTGGTATCACCCTCACTGTCAGAAGATTTTGAAGACATATTTAATTTAATTTCTGAATGACTCAAATCTGATGAAAGGGGTATTTTATTAAGAGATAGGGGTTAAATGCACATTCTGTCTGGGTTTTAATCAATATCTGTATTCCTGTAGAAGCATGTGTAGTAACTGTCTGGATTTTAGCCCCAGAAAGATGGTTCTTCTGTGCAACAACAAAGGCAAAGAGTGAGTGCTAATAATTAACAGACTGAAGTCAAGCCATCGTGGCTTTTGGCATAAGCGTGGTCTGATTATTAATGATGTTTACATGGAATGGTGGGAAGAGAAAGCACAGAATGCATTGTGTCTCTTTGAACTTTTCAGTGCTTATTGCATAGACATCCGGCATGTCTGGAAAAAAAATGCACAGCTGAGCAGAAGCACCAGTTCTTAAGACATATGGGTGACATGAAGTATAGTTCTGAGAAAAATTTAATTCAACCCAGAAAGCTCTGGAATGAACTCTTCAGAAATATTTAATTCCATGGTTATGAAGCATTTGTTTGAATTGAATAATAACTAGTGTTTTCCCCTTGCATAAAAAGAGAATGACCTTTATATTCTTATGCACATTGTCTTGCGAAACTATAAATTGTGTCCCAACACGTTGCATTTTGACTAGAAGTGTTATGAGAAAAAAACAAATACCAGTGATGTTTCAGAAATAACTTGAAAGATTAATATTTTGAGTTAAAAATCATGTTGGTAAATTGTTTTTTTGTCATTGATAAGCATTTTATTTTCTCAAAAGTTGGATCAAAGTATTGTTGAAAAACTATCACTTTTCTTAAATTGTGTGTGATTATTTCAGTGGTACTGTATTTCATTGTCTACAGTGAGATGTTTTAGAACACAAAACCACCTGCTCTATTCTGTATGGAGACTTCCCTCTGGTTTGTGTTGACAGTAATCTCAAGGTAATCCTTTGAAATAAAAACCTATAAAAATATTGTGACAGGACAAAAAGATAACATGTGTGGTTGAGGAAATGAAACTAAAGCATTTATTTCCTGATAAAAGAAGAATGACTCTTCTTTCTGACTTGTAATGACTCAGTTCAATCAACTACAAAATCTCTGGATATTAATTAGAAACCTAGTAAACAGTGCAAGAGGCCAGACATATGTTGAATGTCTACACAAGACTTTTTATGTAAACAAGCACTCCTGCGGAATTTTCTTACAGTGGGTTCTAGTGACTTTATAACTGAATTGCTCAATTTGGTTCCCACCAAGTGGCCTTCTATTTCTGTAAAAGGATGATGGGAAGTGTGAACTGTACAGCTTTATAGCAAATATTTCAGATGTTAAAAAATATTCCAGGTTCTCTGAGACCCAACTTATAATGTGTGAACTAACATCCTGTGGTGATTTCTTAAATAGTACGTAATGAGCTAAGAGCTAATGACCAGTTTCTGCTAGAGTGCAAAGTTCCTGTGGACACAGTTAACAGGATGGAAAGGAGGGAGGAATAGGAAGAGAAAAAAAGGAGAAAGAAAGAGAGAGAAAGAAAAGATAAAAAACAGAGAGAGAAAAAGGAAGGAAGGAAGGAAGGAAGGAAGGAAGGAAGGAAGGGAGGAAGGACAAAGGAAGGAAGGACAAAAGGAAGGAAGGAAGGAAGGAAGGAAGGAAGGAAGGAAGGAAGGAAGGAAGGAAGGAAGGAGGGAGGGAGGGAAGAGGAATGGAGGGAGGGAGAGAGGGAAGGGAGGGAAAGTGGGAGTTTAGGAGGGTGGGAGGGAAGGATGGCGAGAGGGAGGGAGAGGGAGTGAAAAAGGGATGGAGGTAAGGAAGAAAAAGAAAGAAAGCAAATAAGGGAGTAAGCAGGAAAGAAAGAACAGAAAGAGGGAGGAAAGAAAAATAGTCATCAGAAAAGAATCTAAACAGACCATTTCCTTGAGTAATTGCATGTAGTAATACCTCACTGGTATGAATATTTTTTTTTAAAATGGGTCAGTCTATATTACATCTTTGAAAGAAAAGAGCCTATTTGTCTGTCCTGTGATGGTGATCTCTGGTTCCTTTCTAAATAATCTTTTCTTTCCTTTTTAAATTTTATTACCATTTTTTTTTGTCCTTCACATTTTGCCTTTTCCCTATCTACTCAACCATCAAATCTAATTTTGCCCTGGTTGCCCCAATATTATATGAGTGGTCACTCTTTTTACTATTGGTAAACTTACATTTGGGAGATTATTAACACTTAATGAGGACTTATTCTCATTGGATTCTATGTGTTATTCAGTACTAGCTTGACATTTTTATCTCTGGTTTCTAGTTTTTCTTTCCCTTCTTTTTTTTTATAAAGAAAAATGTAATTGTATAGTTGATTATTCCTGGGGAATAGGAGTGCAGAGTGATTCACTCTTCCAGTTGCAACAGACCATATAATATTTTCTACTTTAATTTTTTTCTTAACAAAAGCATAAATCTGATGATGATTTAGGATAGATGAAAAAAGTTTCTATGTATCAAATAAGTTGTCATGACTTTTCATGTTCTTTCAGAGGCCCCTCAATTTCCTATTTTGACTTTGCCTGCCTGCCTGCCTGCCTTCCTCCTTCCTTCCTTCCTTCCTTCCTTCCTTCCTTCCTTCCTTCCTTCCTTCTTTTTCTCTTTCTTTCTTTCTTTTTCTCTTTCTCTCTCTCCTTTCTTTCTTTCTTTCTTTCTTTCTTTCTTTCTTTCTTTCATTTCAGGTAATTTAAATTACCTGTTATATTTCAGGTAATTTATTTTATCCAGCAAAGATACAATGTAAGAGAATGACAGTTCTGTTCTAATAAAGGTAAAGGTAAAGGCCCTCCCGTTGTTCATCGATTTGCTCGAGCGGGCCCAGTAACGTCTCCATTGGAGACTTTGTTGTTACTGTGTCTGGCATATCGAATACTCTCGGTAGCTTGCTGGGTTCTCCGAGAGGGGTGGAGGAATCGAACTCGGGTCGGCCATGTTGACTGCGTGCAAGGCAAATGCCCTACTGCTGTGCTATCGCTCCAGCCCTTTTGGCTCTCCGAGCGGCACCATGGCGTTTGGGAAAAACAAGCGCCTTACCAAAGGCGGCAAAAAGGGAGCCAAGAAGAAAGTGGTTGATCCATTTTCTAAGAAAGACTGGTATGACGTGAAAGCACCAGCAATGTTTAATATAAGAAATATTGGGAAAATGCTTGTCATCAGAACCCAGGGAACCAAGATGGCATCCGATGGCCTCAAGAGTCGTGTATTTGAAGTGAGTCTTGCTGACCTGCAGAACGATGAAGTTGCTTTTAGGAAGTTCAAGCTGATTACGGAGGATGTTCAGGGCAAAAACTGCCTGACAAACTTCCATGGCATGGACCTCACCCATGACAAAATGTGCTCCATGGTCAAAAAATGGCAGACCATGATTGAGGCTCATGTTGATGTCAAGACTACCGATGGTTATTTGCTTCACCTATTCTGTTCTAATAAACAATATAATTTGAGGTAAAAATAAAACTTTGGTAAAAATAAAAATAAAAATTCCTACTTTGGACAAACTGGCAGGTTAACGAATGTAGCCTGCCCACACGGCAGAGTCTGGCAAACTCCCCGTGGCGTACCCAATATGCCAAATACCAGTAACGATGATGGGTCTCATTCTCCTAAAGAGCCTTGAATATAATCTCAGGGCTAGGATGAAAGAGACGTTACTGGGGCCTGCTCGAGGCAATCGACGAATAACAGGATGATTTGTGATTTGTGATTTGTGAAAAATAAAACAGAGATTGTAATAATTCTTCAGGGGTGGCCAAGGAGGCCCCCGACAGCTCTTCCCCTAGCTGCCTATGTTCAGGGTGGGCCCGGGCCACTCCCCCAGCAGGGGTGGCCTGGGCCATGGGGCAGCTGGTGGACAAAACAAGGACCAAGCTAGTTGATTGATCAAATGCCGCTTATTCCATTCTCCCCATGAGCCTGCCCCAGTCTCTCTGTGCCTCCCATTCTAGTCTCACACTGCTCCTCATTCCCATCTCCTCCTGTGTCTCCCGCTCATCTCTCCACACTCCATCTTGCAGCCTGGGCTCTCTCTCTCCATGTGCCTGCTCCTGTATTCTTCTTCTACATTCTTCTCCCTCTGTCCCCCTTGCTAGTCTCTCAGCGGTCCATCTTGCCACCCTGCTCTCTCCTCTTTCTACAACTCTCTTGCCTCTCCAACTCCTTTCTCTCTCCAACCAGCTCTCTTGTTCTCCAGCTCTCTTCCTTTCCAACTCTGGAACCCAGCACCCTGGGATGACACTGCACCCAGTCAGGTAGCAAAATCAGCATAAGAAAGCCCTTCCTGAGGGCCCACCAAGTTTAAAGGGAACACCACCTAAAAGGTATTCCAAAGCCCTTCCTGACTGCCCAAGGGCAAAATACCTCCTAGGGTGTTTTTTCTCCTTTCCTCAGTCTAATAACTCTATCAACATTTCAATATTAGTTATTTTTGTATGGACACAGTAAGAGATAACATTGAGGCTTGAAGGGCAGTAATCCTAGGAACAGCTTGCCACAGACTCAGACTACAGCACTCAGGCCAAATTAATCATTCCTAACCCTAGCAAGGTCCAAATCTATTTACTAATTTTTGGATCATGACTGCATTTGTCCATACCCAAGCTCTTAACTTAGAGTTAAGCATTATGGCGCTTTGGCCAGGCCCATCTCGATGCCAGGGTAGCACATAGCTTAATGCTTGCTCTGGTTCCATCCAGTCCCTCTTCAGGACCCTGCTTTTGGGAGTACTAGGAAGTAAAAGCAGCTGAGGCTTAGGTGAGAGAACAGATGCCCAGGAGGAAAATATCACTGAAAGTCACATAACAAAAGCATACTGTCTTCTTGTGTCCATACAAAAAGGACATTGCTCTGAATAAACTATGTGAAGGGCTTTGGGAGAAGAGAAAAACAATATTTACAAGTCAACAGAGCACAAAGAAAGAAGTTACAAATAAACACAGAGGAATGGGAACACTGTGATGGGAGCAACCCAATAATCCTAAACTACCTGAGGCTACGCAGGAAGGACAAAACAGTCATCCTATAAGAGATTTAAAAAAACAAACAAACTATAAAACAAAGTGGCTTATGATATCTCCACAAGAAAGGTGTGGTAGAGGGCAAGGGAATTATGGGAGGGAACCTGGGAATACTGGTGCTGAGAAATGTACATTGGTGGAGGTTGGGTGCTGGAATACTGTATGACTGAAATTCAATCATGAACTGTGTGTTCAAAAAAATGAATGACTGGGTAGGGTGGGCTTTCTCTCTCTCACCACATGCATTTGGTGGCCATTAGCCGCTTTCCTATCCCAGCCTACAGCCACTGCCAACAGATGCATGGAGAGAACAGGACCGCCACATTGGTTGGTAATCAGTTGCAGTTTGTTCCAATCTCATCTCCCTTTATACCTCCTTCCAGTCTTACCTACTCCCATACTCCTCTTGTTCCCCATGCTGGTCTGCCCGTGCTTGTCTCACAGTCTTAAAGGTAAAGAGGTAAAGGTAAAGGCCCTCCCGTTGATCGTCGATTTGCTCGAGCGGGCCCAGTAACGTCTCCATTGGAGACTTTGTTGTTACTGTGTCTGGCATATCGAATACTCTCTGTAGCTTGCCGGGCTCTCCGAGAGGGGCGGAGGAATCGAACTCGGGTAGGCCATGTTGGCCGCTTGTAAGGCAAACGCCCTACCCGCTGTGCTATCACTCCAGTCTTAGTCCAATCTTAGTTCAGAGCCCTCCCTTCCAAGCATTCAGGGTAGAAACTACCCCTAGGTCAGTTAACACAATCAACATATGTAAAGTCCTTCCTTTAGGGAAGCTCTCCTACCACAAAGATCTCCTGCTAGGAGATCAATCAGCTCAAGGGCTTGCTTTTATCTAAGGACATACTTCTTCTTTCCTTAGTCCATAAACAATTATTTTAGATTTACTTACTTAATAAGGTTTCCAGTCATTTTTTATGGGCTCAGTAGGAGATTTATGGGGTGGCTCTCCTGGGGACATCTCACTACAGATCCCATACTTCAGTGCTCAGACCAGTTAGATCTTTCCTAATACTACCAGGGTCCTTATCCAGCTGTTACTCTTTGGATCATGACAGAATTTGTTCAGGACTGCGCTATTAACTTGTAGTTAAGTATTATGGTGCTTGGCCTGTCCTGTTTTGATGCCAGGGTAGCTCACAGCTTGCCCTGGGCCCATGCAATCCCTTTGTCGAGACCCTGCTTTTTTTTTTTCATCTTTTTCTTTTATTTTATTTTACATATCATCTTTTTTTCCCCCTTTTTATTAGTGAAACACCATGAGGTACAGTTATAGGCTTACAAATTTTGTGCTTGGGTTTCAGTTATACAATGATCAAGTGCCCATCCCTCCACCAGTGCCCGTCATCCATCACCACGGGTCCCAGCATCCCCCTCCAACCCTCATCCCCCCCTCACCCCGTCCCATCCTGCCTCTGTGGTAGGGTATTCCCCCTTGTTCTCTCTCTCTTCTTTTGGGTACTGTGTTTTGCAAGAGAGGCTTTGAGTGGCAATCATGTTTGGTCTATCGACTACTTTTAGCATGCTTCTCCCACCCTGGGAGGGTCCTCACAACACCCTTCACTTGGTACTCTCTTCTCTATCTGAGCTTCCTTTTCACCTAGAGCGTGTGGCTGGCCTTCTATTCATGGAGCAAAATTCCTGGTATTAATCTCAGCCATTCCTGGGTGTTAATCTCCCTTTTTGTTGCTTTATGTTCCCCAGATGAATGCAATCTTTCTGTGTCTATCCCGCTCTTTCTGACTCATTTCGCTTAGCATGATACTTTCCACGTAGTAACACATGTATGTAAATTTCATAACTTCATCTTTTCTAACAGCTACATAGTACTCCATTGTGTAAATGTACCAAAGTTTCTTTAACCAGTCATCTGTTCTTGGGCACTCAGGTTTTTTCCAGATACTGGCTATTGTAAAGAGTGCTGCAATGAACAAACAATTGCAGATGTCACTTCGACAATACCTTTTTGCCTCTCTGGGATATATTCCCAGGAGTGCTATAGCTGGGTCAAATGGCAGATCAAATTCTAATTTTTTGAGAGTCGTCCATACTGTTTTCCAAAAGGGTTGGACCAGTCGGCATTCCCACCAGCAGTGAAGGAGGGTCCCTTTCTCGCCACATCCACGCCAGCACTGGTTGCTTTTGTTCTTGTGGATGTGGGCCAGCCTCTGTGGTGTGAAATGATATCTCATTGTGGTTTTGATCTGCATCTCTCTGATGATTAGAGATGTAGAGCATTTTCTCATGTGCCTTTTTGCCATTCGAATTTCTTCTTTGTGAAAGTTTCTGTTAATTTCCTCACCCAATTTTTTGATGGGGTTGGGTGATTTCTTCTTGTGGAGTTTAACCAGTACCTTGTATATCCTTGATATCAACCCCTTGTCTGATGTGTACTTGGTGAATATCCTTTCCCATTCTGTAGGCTGTCTTTGTATTTTGGTCAATGTTTCTTTTGAGGTGCAGAAGCTTCTTAGTTTAAGATAGTCCCATTTGTCTATCTCTGTTTTCACTTGCTCGGCCAGTGGTGTGACATCTTTGAAGATACCATTAGCTTCAATATCATGGAGAGTTTGCCGACTTTGTCTTCAATAAACGTTATGGATTCTGGTCTGATATTGAGGTCATAAATCCATTTTGATCTTACTTTTGTGCATGGTGTTAGACAGAGATCTGAGCCCACTTTTTTGCATGTAGCCGTCCAATTTTGCCAGCACAGTTTATTGAAGAGGCTTTCCCTGCTCCATTTCACTTTTCTTGCCCCCTTATCAAAAATTAGATGATTATATGTTTGGGAGGAAATGTCAGTATATTCAACTCTGTTCCATTGGTCTGCAGCTCTGCTTTTGTTTCAGTACCATGCTGTTTTAATTATTACTGCCTTGTAGTAGAGTTTGAAGTTAGGGAGGTTGATTCCTTCCATTTTCTTTTTCCCAAGAATTGCTTTAGCTATTCGTGGGGGCTTATTGTTCCATATAAATTTCAGGAGTGTTTGCTCCATTTCTTTGAAGAATGTCATGGGTATCCTTATAGGGATTGCATTGAATTTGTACAGTGCTTTGGGAAGTATTGCCATTTTGATGATGTTGATTCTCCCCATCCATGAACAGGGGATATTTTTCCATTTCCTCGTATCCTCTTTTATTTCCTGAAGTAGAGTTTTGTAGTTTTCTTTGTACAGGTCCTTTACTTCCTTAGTTAAGCTGATTCCTAGATACTTGATTTTCAGGGGCACAATTGTGAACGGGATTGTTTTTTTCATGTTGCTTTCTTCTCTCTCACTGTTTGCGTATAGGAAAGCCATGGACTTTTGGGTATTGATTTTATAACCTGCCACTTTACTATATGAGTCTATTGTTTCTAGGAGTTTTTTGGTGGAGGTTATTGGGTTCTCTAAGTAGAGTATCATATCATCTGCGAATAGTGAGAGCTTGAT